TATCTGGTGGTTAATTTGTTGATCCCCTAGCCTCCTTAAAGCAAACTATCACAATTTTACCAGTGTTTTCCATCAAATAAGGAGCCAAAGTCAGTCGTTACTCTATCTTGTCCTTTGTACAAGTACAAAAATATAGAAAGATACAATTTCGCGAAAAGACAAAATGTTCAATGTAAAATTATATATAATCTCTACATTTTATGTACTTAGGATATATCTAAATAGTTACGAAAACAGTTATCACTAAAATAAAAATACAGAATCATTAATTTTTTTATGATTCGAAAATAAAATTGACTAGATAAGAAAATAAATCTTTTTTGGATACAATTAATAAGATCCTGGAAGCTTCGCCTTTCAGAGAAAATATATTGAAATGTATTGGAATTGATTTTTTTTAAGGTGCATTTAAGAAATCTAGATGTTTAATTAATCCGCACGATTCACTATCATACAAAAGCGTCTGGAACGAGGCTTTGTTCATTTTACAATACAAACAAAATGCTCCAAACAAATCTAACTCAGATATTACGTAATATATGAAAAGTATGAATTGAATTGTTTTATGAATGCTATATTTAATAGTATTAAATATAGCATTCATAAAACAATTCAATTCATACTTTTCATATATTACGTAATATCTGAGTTAGATTTGTTTGGAGCATTTTGTTTGTATTGTAAAATGAACAAATTACATATACTTTAAGAAGATCTTAGTAATGAAAAAATATAAACTTCAAAATAACTTTAATAATGAAGAATAAATCAGATCATTATAAATTTTTCAATTTATATTAAAACTTTAAATCTAAATTCCTTTTTAATCAGAGGATATGGTCAATTTGTATGAGTTAAATTTAGCATCAGTCTGGACATTGTCATAATGTACAAATAGCATAGCATAATAATAGTCCATAAAGATAAACAAAAATTGTATGATATATAAAAAGAAATATAAAACTATATATTTTTCTTACCTTAAGATTTTTCGATTTGATCAATATCTGGTAGATTTGCCAAACTTCTGCGCATGTACAAGATGTACGTGGAATGTGCATGTGGTTTATATTTTACCGGAACATGTGACGTTTTATTTAAAGACACTTAAACCTATAAATATATTTTGGAATTTCCTTATTTTCAAAAAATGTCTTGCCAAATATTTAATGTCTTAGAGGATTCTATAAATAGAAACTTTAAAGTCCTTAAGTTTCAAAACTAAGCACAGCACAAATATACAGTACGTCCCCGAGGATATTTAATATTTTACTATTTATACATACGCCCTCTGCTTATTTTTATTATTATTATATATATATATTTTTTTTAGTAAATTGTAAGATGTTAATGATTCTCAAGAAATCGCCTTAGTTATCATTGTCTTGAAATTCTGATGTCGCTTGTTGGACGGCCTGAAGTATGCAATTAAATTTTTTACTGCTTATGCTATCACAAAAAAATGTGTTTTTAAAGTAAACAGGGTAAAAAAATAGATCATTTATGCAAATACACATTATTTAGAATTTGCATGTTCTATCAAAAAGTACTATAGTAAATAAAAGTGAAAACTTTAGAGCTTTGACTTTTCTATAATGAAAACTTTTGTGCTTTGACTAAAATAGCTATATTGAAAACTTTTGAGATTTGACTTTACTATATTGAAAACTTTGGTGCTTTTACTAAAATTATTATATTGAAAACTTTGGTGCTTTGACTAAAATAACTATATTGAAAACTTTTGAGCTTTGACTTTACTATATCGAAAACTTTGGAGCTTTGACTTAACTATATTGAAAACTTTGGTGCTTTGACTAAAATTACTATATTGAAAACTTTGGAGCCTTGACTTTACTGTATTGATAACTTTGGTGCTTTGACTAAAATTACTATATTGAAAACTTTGGTGCTTTGACTCTATACTATAGAGAAAACTTTTAAACTTTAATTAACCATAGTTTAAACTTTGATACGTTGATTTTCTATGGTAAAAACAGTTTGAAATTTTGATTTATTTTAGACTTTGATTTACTAATAGGAAAGTATTTCTTAGTCAAAATTGATAAAACCTTAAATATTTTTTTAAAATTAATTTATAAATTAACTTTAATAAGAACTTTAGAACTTTGATTTACTATATTGTAAAAACTTTGCAATTTTGATTAAAACAATAGAACTACTTTGACACTTTGATTTACTATAGGAAAACTACATCATCAAAGTGATACTTTGATAAACTTTATAAAATCTTGTGGAATTATGTTTACGTTTTGATTCCAAATCTTAACATTTTAAGATATTTTTTGTCAAAACTCATAAAATCTTCAGCGAACATTAATTTACAAACCCGACTTTGATTTACTGTAGTAAGAACTTTGGAACTAGCTTTAATTTACTACTGTAAAAAACTATAGTTTACTATTCATGAATGTAATTGTCAGGGAGATTTTAATTACATTCATGAAAAACAATATATATAGTTATTTAAAGTAGATACCCGATATAATTCGAAATTATTAAACAAGATAAATAATTCCTCGTGTAAGTAATAATGGGGTCCCATCAATTTCAAAGCATTATATAGGCTCTGAAAAATTATTCACTCTGATATCTCCACTTCCCTATCACAGTATTAGATAATCAGGCTCATTGTAATATGGTCTTATTTCAGCAATTAATTTTTGATATCAAAGATGAAGCATATGAAGGTAACGAACAGTATTAAAGATCAAAAGTCAATAAAACAATACAAAATAGGAGCAGAGCAAACACGGACCTCCAAAACATCAGAGGTGGGATCGGGTGCCATGGAGGAGTGACTATCCCCTGCTGACCGGTCACACCCGCCGTGTGCTCCCCATCATGATCTGGAAATGACGGAGAAATCTGTCGCCAATTCAGTGTACAAACAATGGACTAACAATTAGTATGAAAACATCAGTCATCATTTGACTCAGTGATAAGTAATTGTATTTGCTGACAAGGTCATTATATCGTTCATAGAACTTACATAAAAAGGAATTGAGTGCAATGCAATATAAAGATAACGGATAGAAACAAGCCCAAATGGCCATCACAAATAGTTTGCAGCGCAAAAAAGACCCTCTTAAAACACCAGAAGTAGAATCGGGTGCCATGGGCGAGTAAGCATCCCTTGACAACGCGTCGCACTCATAGACTGTCAAGTGTGCGTCATTTAATTGATAATTGATTATGTTCAATTTTTAAAAATATTTCCTTTGAAATCGAAATCCATGTCAATTTTGAAAAAAAAGAAATATCAAATGGAGAATGATTTATTGTAAATTAATAGTAATGTTATAAAATATATAAAAGAAATACTTGTACATGTATTTACTTTCAGTATCATATAGATATAAATATTAATATACTTTTTGCAGTAATTAAAGTTTTTTGATGAGAAGTTGTTATTATATGTACGAACGTTTGATTTTTAAAAAAAAAACTAGAAAGAGGCAGAGAAAAGTCAGTTCCTCATTTTTTGTCTTATAGATTTCAAATTATTAATTTACATAGCATGTTTGTATATTTCTCTTTCACTGTCTCCAATATCTACAAGAATGATATAAAAAGATTAGGGGTTTCTACTTCTTTTTTTAACACATGTCTTCAACAAAAGAACTAATCGGAAACTAATTTTAGAATTAGATATTTACTTTCATATCTTTTCTTTAAGTCATTTGAAAGTTCTTAAGATAAAGTGGATCTTTTTTGTTGAAAAGCATATATATATATCACGTAATATATTATTAGATTCAAGCTATTTTTAACATGAACAATATAAAGGTAATTTCACAAATGTGATGTTCATAAGAATTCATTTCACATTACAGATGACACAAATAAACTTTAAGTTTATTAAATTCTTGAAAAAACAACTTATGTTTAATTTTTTTTTTTTACAAAAAAGTTTAAGAGCGTATGTATTTATCTTATATTTAGCGTTTCCACAATAATGGTATTTAAAGTGACAAAAAATGATTCAACAAAATTGTAAAGTTTATCAAGTTGAAACATGAATGCAGGAATGGGTGACATCATTTATAATCAAAATAGGTTTAAAAATATATATCGATCCAAGCATTTTTTTGGGGGGCAGTATCAGTCCTTAGAGTATTAATTTGAAATGCGTAATTTTTTAAAGGTGTCTTTGATATTTAAAAAAAAACTTGAAAGAGTCGAGTTTAGAGAATTCAAAGATGTACAAGAACGATATACAATGCATTGTAGAAGAAGTCTGAATTCTTCTGAAATCCAATTTTTACTCAAGTCACAGGCGCTTGACGTTTTTTACCTTCCTTTTCATAAAAAAATATTATCATAGTATATAGGATATTTTTATTTATGAAAAGAAAGGTTAAAAACGTCAAGCGCCTGTGCTCAATGTTTACTTTCTTATGATTAAATTTTCAAGCCTTAAAAATTAACATCAATGATAAAGTTCGATCAGCCCTACCTACGCTAGATTCCTAAACTTTATAAAAATCTAACGACTGCTTCTTCACGGAAAATATAAAATCGTAAAAATTAAATATTCCCCGATTGATTCTCAAACAATGAGCAACATTTCAACAACAATTATTATTCATTTGATGAAAAGAACACTCTATAGTTCAGTAAAATGCAATAAAAAATGTACTCAATGTTCTTCATTCGAATGGTCTGATATTATGAGATAGATAACTCATAGATACATGACAATTACGAAATACGTCGTACATATTTAAATTAAAATCCATTCAGTCATGAAGCCAACACAAGGAATTGGAGTAAAAAGAATCCAGCCCTAAGTATCACTGGTATTCTGCCCGTGATTCCGATAATTTCCGACAAGATATTTCAGGGTGCTTGCGCTCGTTTGGGGTTGTCATATATAAATCACACCAGGAAGAGTAAAACCGACTTGAATTTAGAAGAAATGTCAAGCTAAATCGAAAGTAGATTTTCTCTGAATTCCTAGTGAAATATTTACTACAAAAATGGCTTCACAGGACTTCTTTGAGGATGTTAAGGATATAACGGCATGTCCCGTTTGCTTTGATACATTTAAAACTCCAAGGTACATTCCTTGCTTACATACCTTTTGTCAGGATTGTTTACATAAACATATTGTGGCAGCAATGTCCAAAAAAGCATCGTTAATGGGATTCCATTGTCCAATCTGTCGTGAATTTGTTCCTAATCCAGCAAAGTTTGCGGAGCCGGAGAAATGGGCGGAATATTTTCCGAAAAACCCTGCCGTAGAATTTATCATCGACAACGGAGGTACTGCAGCCCTGAAACACTGCAAACCGTGCCAAAACGACAACGAAGAAGAAGAAGCCAATGAGATGTGTAGGACCTGTATGGAACCATTATGTAAAATGTGTGCAAAATATCATAAACGTGGAACGGTTACAAGACACCATGATGTCATTCCATTGCATGAATTCGAAAAATTAGTGCATGGTGGTCAACAAGAGATGGTTTGTGAAAGGCATGATTCAAGACCATTAGAGGTCTTTTGTTATGATCACAAAACTTCTTGTTGTGTCGTATGCAGCATTGATGAGCACGGGCTATGCAGAAATAAAGGCACGATCGAAAACGAGGCTGACTTGATAGACGAAGGAGGAGAAGATGATGTTTTGTTGTCTGAAATAGAAAACATTCATCGACATCTACATGAATTCAAGAACCGTCAGGAAAAAAATCGAACCAAAATTGAAGATAAAGCCGATGAAATAACAGGGGAAACAAAGAAAATTAAACAACAAATTATCGAAAAATTAGATAGCCTTGAAAATGATCATCTAGAGAAGTTGGCAAAAGCAATGAAATCAGCAAGAAAGGCCATGGATGAAAATATGGAAATTATTTCCGATTTGCTTGATTTTTCAAATCATTGTAAAAACACAATGCAAAATGCAAAGACGACAAAACATTGTTTAAACTATGTGCATAGTTTTCACCAGGTGAGAAAACAAGTAAAACGACTTAAAAGCACGAAGATTTCACTGAAGAAGATTGACATATCCGTGAAATTTTCAGACATTTACCAGCAATTCATCGGCTTAGATCAATTGGCATCATTATCTCAACGCGAGAAATCAAAACATCTGTCACTCAGAATGAACCCCCAAAAGAAGCTGAATTAGAAATGATTGGAAAATGGGAATTCCCCCTGACATCTGGCAATATAACTTTTTAAACTTGTACAAAAAACACATGCTTACGAATCTTGCAGTCTGCAGATCAAGAATATATGATTTTAAAGGGGCCAACCGCATGTAAGCTCTTGCATGCTGTTCTTCCGAAAGAAATCGTATCTGTTACTGAAAAAGAAAAATTCTGAAATATTACACGTACAAGTATTCGCTTACCAAAGAAAAAACAACTTGTCATCAGAGAGTGATGTTATAGTTTATCTTTTCACCAAGATTCATTATTTATTATATGCAAAAACTCAATCAAGGAATAAGATACCGGGGGAATGTAAAAAAAAATCCCGATACAATTTCCATCAAAATATCTTGTGATTTTCCATATTGGAAACATTGTTTACCTAAAATTTTATAATAAGAGAAGCTTCAACCCACACCTATCGACCAAGAAAGACGGCAATTCTGGATTATTCTGAATATATGAAATTGTCCTGAATTAAAACGTCTTCATAGATTGGCCAAGGATTTTGCCAAAAAAAACGTACGTTCCATGATTTGAAAGCACCAGCATTCACAGGTTTTCCATATTTGTTAGAGAAAAATCAAATTTTATTCGTCGTGATTTTATTCATTTTTTGTGTACACTGATGAGGGGAAGAGCATTCAATCATTGTGAATAAATAAACAGTGTAGTAAAGTATATATCGAAGTAAATATTATTTTAATTGTGATTTTTTTTAATATTGCAGTTTTTTCTTTCCGTTTATATATTGAAATGGCGGGAAAATTTCGATTATTATTAAATAATTTTAAACATTTAGTTCATAGATATCCAGATTTGCTGTGTGAATGATCTATTTAGTATACTTGGAAGACGCAAGGGCCAAAAGTGTTTACTGACAATTTTCAAAAATCGATATCTTTTTTGTTCACTTGAGTCTTCCACATATATCATTAATTATACTTCTCTGCTTAATCTTTTGAAATGCAACTTTACATTACACGATGAATGTATCAAATTTCAACTGTAACTACACTTTTGTTTGTATGTATGTATTTCATTATTATTATTATTATCATTATTATTATTAGGAATTATTGATTATTATCAAGTTATTGCATATAACTAAGGAACAAGTTTTCTTAAGGCAACCACATTATTTTCAGAGTCATTTACACAATAATTTTAAATCTTTAAAAAATCTACCCCCAATCATGTTTTATATGGCTAAGTGGGTAAATACCACGCAGAAATGTTTATTAAGCCAAATTTCTTTTTGGTTTTGGCATAGACTTGTTAGTGGTAAACAAGACAAAATATCTTTTCTCTTACATATAAATTGTCATTTAAACTTAGAGAACATGATTTACTATTAGTAATGCAGTCTAAGTGAATTAATTATGTTCACTTGAAAACAAAAACAGTAAATGACTGTGGAATGACTGAGGTTTGGTTACAACAGTTTTCTCCAAAGAAAATATTAATGTGAAAATTGGTAAAAACTAGATAAATTGATCAATTTAGGCAGAAATGGTATGCCAGTGTTTTGATATGCCAAAAAAACCTCTTAATTATAGATTAATAAAGTTAGAACATTGCTTAGAAAAATATTTGCTTCCAAAGGACTTGAAAAAAGATTTATCTAAATTTGAGATGTATGAATCAGATTTCCAATTTAGAAAGGTTGCATTGGGGAGTTGAAAGAGATGATCGAATAAATTGTGATCCTTGTTCCTCTAACAATTTAGGAGATGAATTCTACTACCTTATAGAATGTTCGTTTTTCAAGAGAGAACGAAAAAAAAAACTTGTTTGAAATATTTTTTATGCTAACACTAATGTTATCAAATTTCAAGACTTGTTAAATTGTTAGGACACTTGGGTCACTTGGGTCAATTTTTGGACTAACTTGCTAAATTTTGCTTAATTTTCTTGTCAGTAATTTTAAAATAAATATTAATAAAACTACTGTGTAACATATGTTGGAATACATTATACAATGTCAATACGGTGGTTTAGACACCTGAGGAGTACAGTATTCACTGAGTCCGAATACTCCTATTGTACTTCGAAGGTGGCTTAATCATCGTACTGACATAAAAAAAACCCCAGCAATAACTCTTTTATTATATGTTTAAATGATAGCACTCCTACAAGGCTTTTTTTGCTTTAATTGAAAGTTTTAACGTAAATTTTCAGCAAGAACACATTGTACCAGGAAAAATGGAACAGGATTAATTCAATATATTGACCTGCAATAATTTCTTATTTTGACCTGAAAGGTCACGTGCAGATCAATATAAAGTAGTATTTTTCCAACATTGTTGGATTCCAGCCAATCAGAGAGAGGGAAATTATTCAATCATATAATAAATAAGTTTATTTTATACTGGCAAAGGCCTTCAAGGCCTTTGATGTTCTGAACTAAACCTGTACTTATACTGTAGATCACTCAGTTATCGCGACACCTTATTTTCGCGGGATATGCATTGATTCTTGATAAGCGAGAAAAAATTTTCTCTGACCAATTCGCCACGCAGACGACATTTCAGCTTATATAAAGTACATTGTAATATATATCAATGTATTTTTTAATTTGGTCTAAATTTGCAGCCCCCTGGGTATCCTAAAAACTTTTCAAAGGAAACAAAACAGACAAACAAATTTTCATTAGCCTATAAATGTTTTTTCTGTTTTTGTTAATACTCAAACTAATAAGAATGGATTCTAAAAGAAAAAAGTTAGTTTAATACTCCTAAAATTTATCACAATGACGGGACCGGTACAAAAGTAAGGAAGCCCTGGAGGGACAGTGACATGACTTAGTTCTTATCAACTTCCCTAACTTATGCAGCAATTAATATACCTTCATCACCTGCATTCAGAGTTTATGCATCTCAGTTGATTCGATGCGCAAGAGCATGCTCTGCGTATGAACAATTTCTAAAAATTTGAAGATTACTGGTATTGACAAACAAGTTGATGAAACAAGAATTTCAGCAGTCTCGTTTACAATCATCATTTCGCAAGTTCTATGGTCGATGCAATGACATTGTCAGCGAATACAATTTATCATTAAGTAAAATGCTGACAGACTTTTTCATATTAATTGTTAGTCCATTATTTATTATTGAATTATTGAATATAATTGTTTTACTGGATTAAGGTCTTAATATCTTTCATTAATACAAAACAAGATTGCCACTTTTACTAAGTATTACGAATAAAAGTAAAATTTGTGAGTGCACGGATGTGTCAATCAAACCCACCCAAAAATTTGAAGTTTCAGTAACTTTTAGATGAAGTAAAATTTTTAATCTTTTTTTATGTGAAAGGCTATTAAAATATACAAATCGTAATATTATAAAGAAAATATTAACTTCAAATCTGTGTCCATGCACCTTTAATCTTGAATACTGTTCGTTATCTCCATCTGTTTCATTCCATACATCTGCAATCTTTGATGTAAAGATTTATGATGCCTCATATATCCTTTGTTTTACTTTAAAAAGACATGACTTTTTAAAAAGATTTTTTTTTTGGAAAAATATTATTAATACAATGTATAATGAATGCGTCTCTTGGATTATGTACTGTAACTCATTTTAAAAAATGGCCTCCCTTTGGTACTCAGTGCAAAAAATGTTGTTCTCCCATTGTTTTCTTCGATGAAAGAAAATCATTGCCCCATGCCTGTCCATACCGGTCCCATCATTGTAATAAATGTTGCATGTCTATAGTCTCTGAATAAGATTAACACGAAGCACAGGAACATCTCTCTGTTCAAACCAGTTACATTTGCCTAATGGCTGGGTGTTTGCTTTGTGATCCAGAAGCAGGAATACGATTCTCGTTCACCGCAACGAGTCAAATTTAAGAGCTAAATGGGTAGTTACTTTTTCATTACCAAAGCAATCGGCATTCAATTTAGAAGAAAAATTAATGGTAATGAACGATACTCCTATAAAACCGAGGTCCAGCATAAATATTTTTTCTGTATTTGGATGTTAGCAGGATAAAGTATATACATACATGTATATAATTTTATATACAGCACAACGCAATTTTTAAACTCACATGGTTTTTCGCACAAATTAAGGTCACATTATTCTTGCAATAAAGCTTAACAAAATCAATTTTCAGCACGAGACATAACCCTTATATGTAATAAATATCTCATGTAAAAGGTATATATACTAAAGAATCATAATTGTAAGTTTTCAAAGTCGATGTTTTAAAGGGAACTTGATTAATAAATGGCATGATGTGGTGAATATATGATTCTGCAGTAGGTATATACAAATTAAACCAATCGAGCTTTCTTCCATACTATTAAGTAAAAATATCCACACTGACTTTTTAGAGGAGTAATTTTCTTGGTACTTTGCACGTCTTCCGTACTCGCCTTGGTTTTGTCGAAATTGATCGCCGAAAAATGACAATGCTGTATTAAGAAAACATGCCAAAACATAGTATTATTTATCAGTAAAAATAGCAAATTTTCACTATTGAAAAGAAAATTATTTTTCAGTAATTAAGGTCTGAAACTTTGAAAATTTTGCGGTTGGACGTATCTTTCATGATGCAAAATTTCAGAAAGTAACCCTGAAATAATGCCAGCTTTTTAACATAGAAAGCAGTCGAACAGCTTAGAAATACTGTAATCATCTTGCGCTTTAGAGTCATATATTTACATCCGCTGAATATTTTCTCCTTTATTTCTTAAGAAAACCCATTGCATTAATCACTGCATGAACTACAGTCGGCATGTCGCCTGTACAGATTTCTTGATCAGTGGCTGTTCCATCAATGGAACGTATAAAGACGTTCGCATCATTAGTACAATAATTAATCTTTTTTAATCCAACTTTAAATGATTATTTAAACAGATATAAATATAAACAATAAAATGTCTTTCTTTTTTGTTATTACCGGAATTAACGGTCGCAGCCATTGCAGAAAAAATTTACATATGTATTTTTTCTGCAATAGCTGCTTCTGTTAATTACAGTAATAACAAACAAAGAAAGCATTTTATTGTTTAAATTAATGCACAGAAAATACAGACGTTACATGAGCTGAATTGTTTTGTGCCAAGCCAAGGCAAAGGACTGCTTTACAAAGAACGGATACAAAGACGAGTGCATTTGACGAGAAACCATGAAAAAATATTTCGGCGCTGTCATATTATATCATTCAAGATTACTTTGAAATCTTACCAATTATTATGTAGAAATTATGTTCCAAGTTTAATTGTGATTTAAAATGAAATCAAATGAATTAGTTATAGATCACTATTAAGTATGTTTTGTTGCCTTGTTACTCAATTTCGCATTTATACATGTAACAATGTGATGTAAATTTGTGCAAACAACCATCATAAGAGTTTAAAAAGTGTGTTAAGTTGTATATATTATTTCGTTATACAGATAATAATGCATACCCTATTCCATATCACATCCTGTATTAGCCCGAGACAATAATATCAGTCAGAGGGCCGAAGGCCGAATGTTCATTGCCGTACAATATGATGGCCATTTTAAAAGTTATTTGAAGCACTTTGATATGGCGTGTAAAACGTTGCTAAATTCGATAATCTTGTGTTGTATATTCAAAATCTTGTGATGTATAAGTTATCAGAAATTGTCAAAAAATAATTATATATAAAATACTTTCTATCGTCTAAGAAGATTAATTATTTGCTTAAAATATGCGAAAGGTATTCATCAGGTATCCCTGTCTGCGTCATATTCTATAAATAAAGGTTGTACTATCAGGCTAACACAAATGCGGGGAACTTCCTTAATGACTTGATGTACGCTTTGATGCAAAACTCCCCGCTAAGGACACATCTTTGAATAATCGTTTGACCTTAAATAATCTTGCTGCATCAGTGTTTATTTACTTCTGTTGGTATATAAATCCCCAAAATGATACCTGTGACACATATTTTACGCTGTTAAATTCTAGTTACATTTTAATTAATTTTTAAAACTTTTTAATGCTATATATGACATAGAGATATATAATATCTTCTCAATGTCTGAATCGGCTTGTTTTTAAACTGTCATCGCGGTTTTGGTTGTTTATGGTGAAACACCGTCTACCACTATCTATCCTTATTGATTCAAGAATAGTCTCATACTGGTGTAAGTTAATGAATAGTACAGATAAGAAAATTCCATGTATATTATACCAATATTTAATTGCTAACTCACAATCTGAACTTGATAAGAATACTTGGATTGACTGTGTTCAACATATTTTTGATTCATGTGGACTATCTCACATTTGGAATGAACAGTTTTATTATAATCCTAATCAAGACTGGGTTACATCTGTTGCTAAACAAAGATTTATATAAAAATGGCATTCTGATATTAATAGTTCTTCTGAAGGTAATTTGTATAAAACTTTTAAAACAAATTTTGAGTGTGAAAATTATTTAAGAGTCAAAATCAGCAAGCATCGAGCATTTAGTTAAAAAATGTGGAAAGTGGCATAGAAACAGATTTGGTTAAAACTCATATATAAATTTTCAGAACAAAGGGTATGATAGAAAAAAGCAAGCAAAAAATAATTTTTCGCATTGTTGCTATGGAAACCACGCGCCTTTCAAATAGCGTGTTTTGTACTTTATCATGACACTTGAATTTATGGTTAAACAAATACTTTTTTATTACTAGCCATTAAAAAAAGCTTTTTAAAGTATTATTTTATTAATATAAATATACTCTATTTTAACAACTGTTGATTATTGAAATTCTCTTCACATTTTGTTAAATATAACTAGTTTTTGGAGGTTTATTTTGCTTAAAAAAACAGCAAATTTGAAGAACTCTATAAAAAACCTACAACCACATCAAAGCTTATCAACATAAAATATTTATTAAACAGTATTTGTTCTAGAAGAATCAAGAAAAAAATCTGCAGGCAACTAAAGCATTTATATATGATAACGGATTTAAATCCATAATTTTCTGTCACTTTTGCTTCAAATTACCTCCCTTTGGTAGAGCTCTCTAACATAGGAGGAGTAAACGATAGTTTGCTTACATTGTTTTCAATAACAATAGTCGATTTTCCAATTATACATGATATAAGGAGCCCTGACGTCACAATTATCAATGCTTTAAGCGATACCAGACATTACGACGCGCGGCTTATTTGACCTGATACAGCTATAGTTTGCGTAAAGTGCCAGTATGGTTAAACATTGTTGTTGGGGAACCTGTAAGAGTGATTCACGGTATTCAGAAAGACAGCACATGAGTGGAGTAACGTGGATTCCTTTTCCAAAACCGTTTTCCCAGGCAGATAAATGCCAGAGGTGGGTGAAACTGTGTGGTAGGAAAAACTTCTCCGTAGCTAATGTAAACAAGTCCACTTATATATGCTCCAAGCATTTTGTATCTGGAAGGCCTACTGAAGAGCACCCAGACCCGTTGCCAGCATCAGGCACTTCGTTTGATATAGAGAGAGCATACAGGAAAAAGAGACGAGTGTTGTCCAGAGTTGACACTGACAATGGAAATGGACCACATGAAAATAAAATAAAAAATGGTACATGATCTATAAATCACCTTTGTGACAAGTTCAAATGAATATCACTCATTATATACTAGTATTAAAATTGATCTGCTGTATTGTTGAGTAATATTTTTTCTGTTATGTATTTTGGTTTAATTTATAATTTATCTACAAAATGACATTTTTTAATCAGAGGTATTTTGCTGGGATGTGGGGGCCCATGAAGAAATGTCTTCAGAAGTTGAAGGAATCCAAAGTGGTGATGACTGTGATGTACTACAAATACATAATGAAGATGTGGAAGTGTTGCCTGTAATAGAAGGAAAGGATGACATCCCCAAAGGTATCACATTAATGATCTATATTTTTTTTGGGGGGGGGGGGGGTTGGGGGGGTTGAGGGTTGGTTTTAATCTGGTGGCAAAATTTACTTGCTTCAAAATGGCCAATTTATTTTTCCTTTTTTTAAGTTGACCATTCATATTGCTCAAAAGCCAACACCACTGCTGTTTCCACTACCAGTATACAGTGTCAGACTGATGTTACATTAGAAGATTTATCAGCATATGATGATATTCATCTGAAGGACAAAGGCAGTATGAGAAGAAGCCATGTCATGAATGATGTCCTGAAGAATGATGCATCCTGTAAATTCTACACTGGTATGTCAAAATCTATTTTTAATTAATTTTAATTCAATAAATCTTAGACTATTCATTTAGTGTCAAGCTGTCTACACTGTTATGATGCTTGCATAAATTAGTACGGTATTTTCTTGATATATAATTTTTCACAATAATTTATGTCCATGAATATTATAACAGGGCTTTCTCTTGGAATTTTCTTTCTGTTGCTCAATTCGCTCAAAGACAAAGCTGCCAGACTTTCATACTGGAGGGGAAAGGAAACTAACTTGGAAAATAATGAGGTATTATTGCTTCTTATTAAGATAATATATTAACTCCTAGGGATTATATAATTGTACATTCTTGCCTTATTTGATCATCCACATTTCATAGGATTTTCAAGTATTTACATAAATTTATAATATTCAAAATTTTCAAATTGTGTATAGAAAAATAGGTTTAAGTTTTAAACTTAAATTAAAATTTAGTATTTATTGTTAGTGACATTTATAGAACTCTTCAAAAACTATACTACATTTTTAGATGAAAAGGAGAGGGCCAAAGAGACTATTATCTATTCGAGAAGAAATGGTGATGACCCTGATGCGCCTCAGAAGAGGGATAGATACAAAAACGTTGGGTGCTATCTTTGGTGTACAGGCTGGAACTGTCAGTAAAATTTTTTTCACATGGACAACTTTTCTTGCATTGGAACTTAAATTTCTAATTTCATGGCCAACTAGAAATCAAATTGCACAAAAATTACCAAGTTGTTTTAAATATTTCCCCAGCACAAGGTGTATTATTGATTGCACAGAGTTTTTTATTCAAAAACCCAGTCTACCTTCCTCACAGAGAATTACTTGGTCATCTTATAAGCACCACAATACTCTAAAGTCATTAATTGCAATTACCCCAACAGGATCAATCTGCTTTTTGTCTAGTTTATTCACTGGCAGCATCTCTGATAAACGGATAGTTGAAGAATCTGGATTTTTAGAATGTATAGAAAGAGGGGATGACATAATGGCAGATCGAGGCTTTTTGATAAGAGGAAACCTGGCTCTAAAAGGAGCTACGCTAAACATTCCCCCCTTTGCTTTTAACAGACAACTATCGGGTTTAGCTGTAACAAAAACAAGACGCATAGCTAGGGCAAGAATACATGTAGAGAGGGCAATTGGTCGACTTAAATGTTTCAACATTTTGCAGGGTGTTATACCACTTAAATTAAAGCCCATCATTGATCAGATAGTATGCTTGTGTGCAGCTTTATGCAATTTAGACCACCAGCTAGTGAAATAATGTAGCATATATGAAATGTATGCCAGATAAGTGCTGGGAATATTTAGCAGAGAAAATCTAGCCTCTTTTATTACAGTTGATCCTTTGTTTCAGATGATTAAATAGTTATTGCTGGCTTGCCACAGATTTCAAATAAATTTGGTGTAAAGTAATTATAACTTATTTGATGTTGCATAATGTATTATTTATTTTTTATATTTCTTTAACAAATTGCATAGTGCTGTGTCTCACTAAAATAATAATTCAATAGTCTAAAGAATAAACATAATAACTAGTTATTTGACATTTTATTAAGCTTCAGCATTGTTATCAATTGATTCATGAAAGGTACAATGAACAAAGATGCACATGGATTTTTTTAAAAACTGTACAATCACAAGCGATCAAGATGTAATGAATTATTTGTTCTTACTAATAACACATGATATACACATTGAGTATAAGGAATGGAAAAAATAAGAAATTTGTGTTAAAGTTGTTTTTTTTTCTTTTGCAATGTTAACTTTATATATTGTATTTGAAGGGCATATCAATGATATCATATGCTGTGGCAGTTGTTTTCTAATTATGGTCAAGACATGTTTAGTACTATACTAATACTCATGTGTTTTTTACTGGAACTGTGAAAAAAGTACAGTTGAACATGTTCATTTTAATTTTCATTCCATATTTGATACATCAGTCAACAACTGTTGAAATAAATAACGATCAAAAAAAAACATTCATTTTCATTATCATATCTCTGAAAAATGCTTCATGAAATGGAAGTTGTGAAACATGGATACCTTTTTCTGTATAAATGACAAGATCACAGTGTGGAATACCATAAATACCCATCTGACCTTGCATCTGATGATAATATTCAGATTTCTCAGTGACAAAAGACATGTTATCAACAACTGAACAGCCTTTCTGAACAGCAACCTCTTTAGGATGCATATGTTTTAATGAAAATGGACATTTTATCTCAAAAATTCTTTTTCCATGACACTGGCAAGAAAGAATTCCATCTACACTACAACCAATAAAAGGGTAATCACTCATGACATACAGACCCTTTTCCTCGACGCACACTCTCTTGTGAAAACACCTACTTGCCCTTGTGTAAAGCTCACGAGCCACTTTCTCTTTTTTTAACCCCCAATTTATAGAAGGCACAGAAATGCTTGTGTTGTATTTCAACATGATTGATTTTAGAAGTGACGGTGGGCAGTGACCCTTGTCTACTGCTTGGCAAATTTTACGAAAATTAGAAGCTGTAAGCATTCCATATCTCATAGCCGTCCATGCTGGATTTTCAGTTTGACCTCTAGTGCTCTGCTCAATATCCATGATAATTTCTGGTGCAAGCTGTCCAAAACTTTCTCGAAACTGGGATACAGTTGGAGTTCCATGGTCAGACACTAAAATCCAGTAAAAATACATGCATGTATGATACAAAAGTTGATGCAAAAAATCAAATTGGATGTAGAAACTTTTTGAAATTTTGTAACAATTCAAAGATCATAATAGAAATGCACAAAAACATGAAATGTATTTTGTTGATATTATAAAATAGGTGATATGTGAAAAAAAGCTTTGAGTAATACATTACTTCCTTTTAAAATTTACACATCAAAACAAAAATATCTCACTTTGAATTTCTTATATTACATCCTAACAACTATAAACAGACTTTTAAATTACAGCTGGTATAACCAATTTTATGAATAAGAAATATTAATCAAGCTGGGATGAAAATGCAAATTCATGTTATATATTAATTTCTTACAATATATTAATTTCTTACTAGAAATATTCTTTAACTGTTCTTTCACTGAATTGGCAAGGCATGACATATCCGTATCTTTTGATTCAGCTGTTGGATTAATACTGCGATCCTGTAAAATGTCTAGTGCCTGTGTATCTGCTTGCAACTAAATACAACAGATTCCTTAGTGAATGATGAAATGTACAATATCATACATAAAAATGTATTAACAACTCATTCATAATTGATGTAATAATACCTGTGTTAAATTCTTGGCAAAATTAGCTATGTCGATCTCCTTGTTGCGATCTTCAGTTGATCTAGGATCATACAGATCCAGCAAATTTTCTTTCTCTTCGTTCAAAACGGAAAATCTGTTAAATGAAAGAAAATCATGAAAGATTTATCACAAAGCAAAATATTACTTGAGTCAGATTTCAAACTACCCTTGTGTTCTATAAATATTATAATAAATACATAGAAAAACATAAGAAATGCATATTTAATTTAGATTTACTTACTAGTGAGCAACGGCTCACTGACTTCTCAGTTTCAACAACACAGGTAACAGTCAACACTCTTGAATTATTCAAAATTAAACCTCAACTACAAAGAGAAAATATAAACAAAAAAGTAAAATAGAAATGAAAAATAAAAACAAGAACATGCAATAAATTTTTTAAAACAAAAACAACTTGTATTAATATTTACTTTGCTTTTACAATCCTTAGCCTTTTAACAGGCACTGGACAGTCGTGGCTTCTGGGTCTTTTCATCCATTTGTTTTCCCCATCTGTCACCGACTTCATTTCAAAGTCTTCAAGCTCATACAGAGCAGCAGAAACATGTCTGCAAGCACCATCCATTCTAAAATCATAAAAAGAACATTCATCACATATTCCTTTTTGAACTGAAGTTACTTATTTCAAATGTAACAATATGCAATCAGCTGACTTACTTAACAAGTTTAAATACACATTCTTTAAAACATACTAACCCCCCAATACATGTACAGTAGGCTGAAGTGACTTCTCCAGTTGCTTTCTTGATAGAGAACCATAGTTGGTAAAACTTTGTATTCATATATGTAGTCTCTTTTTGAGTAGGTTTAACTTTCGCTCGAAACAAACAGACCTCAGCATCTCCACACTTGTTGAATGTCAGACTCTCTACATGACCGTCTATAAATAATCTATAATCCTCACACGATTTGTAAGCTCTTAACTTCTTTTTATCATAGTCTGATGTTTTGTGTAAAAGATAATTAAATATGTCATATAAAGTGAAATTGGATGGAATCTCTGAGAAATCGGACGTGAAGTTGTTGTCAAGGAATGGATCTGAAATGGGTAGTTGTACCAACTTTTTCTTTAGATCAAGTGTAGTATTGCATGTAAAATCAGGATCAATTGGTAAATCGAGTGACTTAACAGCTTCACAAAGTTCAATAAGATTATTCCTCCGTAAATTTGTAGCAGTAATGCCACGATCTGATAAATATTTCTGCAAATCAGTTACCTTCAACAAAGCGAAGCAACTACTCGCCATTTGTAAACAACGAAGGAATGTCTGGTGTCACGTGATCGCGGGTAATGTAAAAGAGGAAACCAACGCCGGAGTTGGGTATTGGAAAACGGACTATTTACAGAAGACTAGCAGAAAATTAGAAACTTGGAGCAGTCTGAGCCTCAGTTTTGGTGTTTTCATGAGTCTTAATTACGGTGAGTGATTGAAATTTTTACAATTTTCCACTACAACAGTTACTGAAGAATGTATATTAACCATGCAGTAAAATATGTAACACTGGCAAGTGTTTTTGCACATTTCAATTTAATTCTGATTGATTATATATGTTCGCATTACTTTAGTATTTTATAACTAAAAAGAAAAGATTATGCTTGGCCTGAGGAACCCGGACTGGAGGAGGAGGGTATGCCCCCCCCCCCCCTTCCATAATATTGCCGATATTAAACTATATGATAAAATGAAATTAAATTCCCTAACTTAGATTGTTTCTGTGGGCCTAACGTGAAAAAGATGACCATGATCAGTTACATAACTGTATCCCAAATTATAAAGTTTAATTTGAATTTAGTTTAATTTTAATTTGTTGTATTCACGGTATGTATGTAACCAAAGTCACTCACCAGCTATAATGATTATAACTTGATTGATGGTCGGGTAAATAAAAATTTTGTATATAGATCTAATAGTAGATATCTTTATTTACCATTTAAGATAATACCTGTTTTTTACATGAAAAATTATGAATTAATGAAAATTTGTAAAATGGAATAACCTTTGTTATGGCGTACGTAAAAAAAAAAAGGAAAAAGGGGCATGGGTTAACTCTGTACTTAATATATTTTAGTTTAGGAAAGGGGATTACCTTGGAAGTATTGTGATACAGACAAGTGTATTATGTAGTGGACTAGTGGTAACTGAATTGTATATATACCACAGTAAAATAATTAATTAAAAAAAAATAAACTTTTTTAAAATGTCATCCAGTGTTTACTTATAAAAGAAAATTCATATTCAGCTAACATTTTCTCCGGTACCACTGAACTAATTTAAGTCAACTAGGTTCAAATAATAAGCATCATTAGATTCAAAGCACGTAAATTTATGAAATGAATATCTATACTCCATTTTTTCTTGGGGGGTGGGTTATTGGAAAGAAATTTCATTTTAAAGAATATCTAAAATCAATACGGTCACAACTTTGTGTTGTATACTTCTGTTTTTAGAATGAAACTCGGCACTTTGAATTAAGCCAAACTCGGAAAGAAGCAGAAACAGAATTAGATGAGCTGAAATAGAATTAGACAGGAAAAACATGTAAATAAGACATTTAGTAAAAACGTTAACTTTTTAAAATAAAATGATAAATCATTGAGGTCTCTTGGAATTTAATTGATTCCAATAAACATGCTTTCCATTCATCATCATTGCTCAAGCTCAACTAGAAATGGTTCTAAGTATATGAAGGCAAAGCTGTATAATATTATTACATTTTAATTTTATTACTTTTTCAGATTATGAGAAGACATTATTACAGTACAGACCATTGATGCTGGAAGTGAGTGGATAGTGTTAGCGGAGACTCAGGGATCCAGAAAATAGATCCATAAATTGTACAGTGTATACATGAAAGTGGATCAAATAAAAATGTTCAATCCAAAAGTAATATTCTTTGTTTGTCTGTTAGCATTTATTTTTTATTGATGTAAATCTAATAGCTATCAAT